TAGTTCATCAAATGTCACCATTAGCTGCACTGTCAGCAGTGGAGTGACACACGTCTTACATCATGCTTCAAGGGAACTTATTATCATTATATACTCCCGCATATCCGAAACATTGCTAGGACCTATAAATACTGTGTATATATTTCTAGACAATAGTATGTGGCTAAGGTAGGTAAAAATTTTCACCTGTCACTGTGTTTGTGACTATTTGAATACTATTTCAGTACCTAATACAGTATTAGTATCAGAACAAAGCTTAACTATGAAATCATAAGAACTACTACAAATTGTAATTATCAGAACACAAAAATTATACAAATTAAAAAAAAAAAAAAGAGAAAAAAAAGGTATATCGGCAACACTTCTGCAAGAGACATTGCCAATCATGGCCTATTTACAGTGGAATATACGCGGCCTCAGGGGTAATCGGGGTGAGCTTCAGATGTTACTCTCCCAGTTTGCCCCTGTTGGTGTTTGCTTACAGGAACCAAAATTACACTCTGCTGTTATTTCTCACATCTCAGGCTATAATTTATTGTATTCTTCAGATCCTTTTCCTGATGGGACCTTTAATGAAAGTGCCCTTTTTCTACGCACTGATATTCCGTACCATCAGCTATTTGTTCATACTTCGCTGCATTACACAGCAGCCCGTATCCACTTACATAGGTGGTATACGCTCTGTTCTTTATATCTCTCTCCTTCTCGGGGCATTTATTATTCCGGATTTTGCCTTCCTTGTTTCGTCATTACCGCCACCGATTCTGTTACTTGGTGATTTTAATGCCCACCATTTCCTCTGGGGGGGGTCTCACTGTGATTCCGTGGAATTCAGTTAGAGGCTTTTCTTGCCACCCACCCCCTCCATGTTTTAAATACAGGTACTCACACCCATTTTTGATCCTCGGACTCATACTCTCTCTTGCATCGATCTCTCAGTCTGCTCTTCCTCCGCCGCATTAGACTTCACTTGGTCTGTTCTCCCCAGACTTACATGACAGTGATAATTTCCAAACATTCTTACTTCCCCTTCATATTCGCCACCTCTTCGCACCCCACGCTGGCAATTTAATCGGGCAAATTGGAACCTTTACTCACACCTAACTGTTTTTAAAGAGGTTCCTTCTTCGTCCTCCATCGATGAGCTTTTACACCTCTTCTTGTCCTCCGTTTTCACCGCAGCTTCTCATTCTATACCCCAAACTTCGGGCAGGCATTCTCAGAAATGCGTGCCTTGGTGGTCTCCTGCTTGTGCTCGTGCAGTACGTTTGAAACGCGCTGCATGGGGCAGGTACCGGTACAATAGAACCACAGAGCGACTCCTTGATTTTAGACAGAAGCGTGCGATCGCTCGCCGTGTCATCCGTGATGCTAAACGCACTTGCTGGCGAGATTATGTCTCCACCATCACCTCTGCTTCCTCTGAGTGCAGTCTGGAAAAAAGTACGAAAACTGAGTGGTAAATATTCTCCTGACCCGGCTCCTGTTCTGCAGGTTGCCGGTGTTGATATAGCAAACCTACTAGATGTTGCCAATGAAATTGGCAATCATCTGGTCCGTATTTCTCAGGGACTCCATCTATGCCCCTCATTTCTTTCCTCAAAGTCTGCCAGAGAGTTAGCACCCTTGGACTTTTCTTCTCTCAGAGAAGAACAGTATAATGTGCCTTTTACACTTTAAGAACTGGAGGCAACACTCTCAGCTTGTCGATCATCGGCAGCTGGGCCCGATGACATTCATATTCGTATGCTACAACATTTACATCAGTCAGCCCTTGCAGTCCTATTACGCCTTTACAATCTTATTTGGTCACAAGGAGTTCTTCCACAGCTGTGGAAATCCGCCATTGTTCTCCCTTTCCACAAACCAGGCACTACGTGACATGAAACCTCCCACTATCGTCCCATTGCTCTTACCAGTGCAGTTTGCAAAGTAATGGAACGCCTAGTAAATAGACGTTTAGTGTGGTATTTAGAGACACACAACAGTCTCTCCACTCGTCAATATGGCTTTCGTAAGGGACGTTCTACCATAGACCCCTTACTACGCTTGGATACGTATGTTCGTAATGCCTTTGCGAATAACCACTCAGTTATTGCCATTTTTTTTTGACCTTGAGAAGGCATATGACACAACTTGGAGGTATAATATTTTAGCCCAAGCCCACTCCTTAGGCCTTCGAGGCAATCTACCATCCTTCCTTAGAACTTTTTAACTGACAGGCATTTCCGTGTTCGGGTTAATAATGTGCTCTCCCCGGACTTTATCCAAGCTGAAGGGGGTCCCCCAGGGATGTGTTCTGAGCACCAACACTTTTTCTCCTTGCTATTAATGATTTGGCCTCTAGTCTTCCATCAAATATTTGGTCATCACTCTATGTTGATGACTTCGCTATTGCCTGTGCAGGCGCTGACTGTCACCTCATTACAGTTTCTCTCCAACATGCAGTCGACCGTGTTTCCAATTGGGCCACCACACGTGGGTTTAAATTTTCCAGCACTAAAACCCACCAAATCACTTTCACTAGACGCTCTGTCATCTCCGATCATCCTTTGTACCTCTATGGCTCCCGTATCCCTGAACGTGATACAGTCAAGTTTCTAGGCCTCCTCTTTGATCGTAGGTTATCCTGGAAACCTCACATTACCTCTCTGAAGGCAACTTGTCACAGCCGGCTGAACCTTCTTAAAACCCTTGCTCATCTTTCATGGGGAGCTGATCGTCGAACCCTCCTTCGCCTACATTCCACCCTTATTTTATCGAAACTTGATTATGGTGACCAGATCTATTCAGCGGCATCTCCTGCTACTCTCTCTAGCCTTAACCCCATTCATCACCAAGGATTACGTTTATGCCTCGGTGCTTTTCGCTCTTCCCCTGTCAAAAGCCTCTATGCAGAAGCGAACGTTCCATCCTTATCCGATCGCCGTGATGCCCATTGCCTGCGCTACTATGTACGCTCTCATGATCTCCGCAATCCTTCCATTTATAGAATGGTCACTGATATTAGTAGACATTCTTTATTTGTTCGCCGCCCCTGTTTACTCCGTCCCTTCTCTCTTCGCCTTCATTCGCTCTTGTCTTCTCTTCAACTACCACCTTTCTATGTACATGTAGCATCTCACTTTTCCCTACCCCCCCCTGGGAAGTTCCAGCTGTTCGAGTCTGTTCTTTCTCCCTCCCTTGCTCGAAAGCCCAACTGTCTACGGTCGCTTCCCGCTCTTTTTCTTGACCACTTTCACTCTCATTCTCATGCCATTGCTGTGTACACAGATGGCTCTAAGTCTTCTGACGGCATAGGATTCGCAGCAGTGTTTCCGGACAGCGTCGTACAAGGGCATTTACTATCTTCAGCTAGTATTTTTACTGCTGAATTATATGCCATCCTTACAGCACTTATCCGTATTGCATCTATGCCTGTGTCATCATTTGTGGTTGTCTCAGACTCCCTTAGTGCTTTACAGGCTATACAAAAATTTGATACACCTCACCCCTTAGTCCTCCGTATCCAACTTTGGCTACGCCGCATCTTTACCAAGCATAAAGATATTGTTTTTTGTTGGGTCCCTGGTCATGTTGACGTACAAGGCAATGAACAGGCAGACACTGCTGCACGGTCAGCAGTACATGACCTACCAGTTTCTTATAGAGGTATTCCATTTACGGACTATTTTGCTGCAATATCTTCCCACCTTCACACCCGTTGGCAACAACGTTGGTCTACTATGCTCGGCAACAAACTTCAATCTATTAAACCGAGTATAGGTTACTGGGCGTCTTCTTATCACCAGTGTCGAGGTTGGGAGACTACTCTCTCCCGTCTTCACATTGGCCATACTCGTCTTACTCATGGATATCTCATGGAGAGGCGCCTTGTTTCCTCTCTGTGAGAATTGCCAAGCTCCATTATCAGTCAGCCACATTCTGTTGGACTGCCCACTTTATCAACGAGCACGCAGAATTTACCTCTGTCGTCGTCTTCGCTCCGCTGCTCTCTCTTTACCTTCCCTTCTCGCTGATGGACCCACCTTTCATCCGGACTCTCTCATTGACTTTTTGACAACAACTGACTTACTTCACAAATTCTGATACCTTCAGCCCTTTCTACTTCAATCTCTTGCTACCCTCTACCCCCGTACTATCCCCTGCCCCGCTGTTTTCTGTAACCTGCTGATCATCCCCCTCCCTTCTGCCATCCAATTCCCTTGCTTCCTTCCCTACTCTGCAGCGCTGTATAGCCCTTGTGGCTTAGCGCTTCTTTTTGATTATCATAATAATAATCCCACCAAGGCGGGGTGACCTAAAAAGAAAAACAAAAGTTATTCTTTTTTAATTTAATCATTTATACAGGAGAAGGGGTTACTAGCACCCTTGCTCCCAGCATTTTAGTTGCCTCTTATGACACACATGGCTTACGGAGGAAGAATTCTTTATATACATATATATTTTACTATAAATGCTGAATTATATATATTTTCCCTATACACAAACTTAATACGGCAAATTCAGATATTCTGTGATACAAAGAAGTAATTTCTTATTTGAACTATTTCAGAAATGAAGCAGCAGCCCACATTCAAAATGGAGGCCTAAGGATGGTGAGTGACGAGATGAATGTGTGAGGTCCTCTATACCCCTGTGAAGGACCTCGTTAACCCTGTGCCATACGAGGCAACCTGGTTACCGCCCCCCTTGTCACTAACCACAGATTCGTGATACCAGAACTCTCGTTGAACAGATACTCAACAATTATAAGCTATTCATGTAATAAAGAAAATAGTACTGAACATTTTATGAAGAAACAGGCTACCCCTGGATGCATTCCCAAAACAGGATAGAAGTCATAGGTGCAAATGATAAAAGTTTATATAGCATGAAAAGAGCTGTATAGAATTAATCTGCAGAAGTAAGATGTAATAAAAAATAACGTACCTTATATGTGATGCTAATGCTCTCTATATTGAATTTTAAAATGCCTCAAGATACAATCATGCCAATGCAAGTAGCCAGAGATGGCATGATATTCATTATTAATATTCCTCAGAAGTAGTATCTTCACTAGTGTGTTCACAGGGGTGACCTAATACTTCTAAATTTATTGTTACTGCGTCACAGCCCCCTCCCGTCCCCCGCTCATGAGATTAATTAACCTGCTGTGGACTCCATTGTTGTACTCCCTCATTACCACCACAAGCCCACGCTGATTGACGTTTTTGCTTTGAGTGTTTCTTGCAGTGTTGTGTATCACATAACAGTAGCAGTATTCTTTCTCTGCCCTGTGCTCAGTTTGAAATCTGAATATGAAAGCAAGTGCTTCTGTTGTAGTGTTTATTGCACTGGTATTTTGAGGGCCATAACATCAGTAATGCATTTATTATATAATAAATGCCTACCTATAGCAGTTAATGGATTGTCAGTGGCCATCGGACCATAAGTGCTGTGCGATAGTATGAAATGAACCGAGTATTGCTGTGTGAATCATCCATGACGGTGCTACTTGGAAGTGACTCTCGACTTGTTTGGTGTTCTACATTGTGATAAAACCCAAGTCTAGTCAAGGGCGGGGGACAAAACTGTGTTTGCCTGAACCTTTGTGACGCATATATGTAACCAGTACGCTCAGTTTTACCTTTTTTACATATTTAACAATAATTGTCCATTTAGAGTATGACAGAGAGAATGGCATGAAACAGGGATATAATCTGTGGTAAAAAGCCATATATGCACATGTTTAGATAAGAATATGCAGTGTTAACTTCTCATCCATGTTTTGTAATGCTTGGCTACAGGGGTACGTAGTGTTTACTGTATTGAGTCTGCAGATATCCACCTTTGATTATCTCACAAACGATATTGGTCATTATACGATTTTAATGATAACAGTCATACAGGTACATCCCTGATAGTGCACAAACTGTTGCCATCTCCCTGTCTACTCATTTGCCACAGTGTTCCTAGGTGTTGCTTAATTTCTGCAGCTTGCAAGACAGTATGTAACCAGACCAGCAATTTTGGATCTTACTCAGGGCTACAATATGATATTTTGCAAATGCATTGAAGGAAATTAATTTTACTAAAATCTAAAATGAGGACAAAATTGCTGGAATTATCACATTATCCATATATAAAATGTAATGTAAGGAATCTTGCTAGATAATACAGTACTTTATTTGTATATTAAATTCAGTCTTAGGAACAAGTTGGCAAATTCTCATTGCCAATTCATCAGTTTCTACTTAAATCTTTTTCCATTGTAAACATTTCTTACGAATTTAAGATTAAAATGTTGAAGTGTAAGTATGTGTGCATTGCTTCTTCATAGTGTTAGAATTGTGTGAAAGTGAGTATTATATTACAATAGATAATAAGTCGTTGCAGAACTGTTGTACTTTTATGATAAATATTGGCAAATTTTTCATGCAGGTGTTTGACAATAGCTGTAACCCTCAAGTAATCTGAGCACTGTTTTGGAAGTCTGAGGAATTTTAACAGTTCCAAACTGATTTATGTTTTGGTTCTTCTAGGACGTAAGAATAGATGTTTATGGCTTAGCAAAAGTCATGGTATGATGCATAAAGATTGCTTTGAGACCATGAGCCTACATAACACCAGTTTCTAACTATTTATCTCATTCAACCAAAACATGCAGATATCTTCCATAAGCTCAAGTGTAATACATGTAGTCTCTGATAAATGTTGCCAGTGTAATTAATCTTTGCCTGCCCTGAATTATTATAAAATTATTGATTTGCAGTTTTTTGGTAATGGAGTTATTGAAATGTATTACTACCAGAATTGTAAAGAGGTCATGCTTTCTATCTATGCATATGTATAATTTTACCCCCAAAATAATCAGAAAAATAAATTCCCTAAAAATATATAAAATGCTCAAACTGAGTAGATAAATGAATTCTTTTTCTACTGCTTTTAGGTAGGATTGATTAATGTTGAAGTTTCAGTATTAGGCAATATAGATATACATGCAAGATATTTAAAAAAAAATTGTTTGAGTAGTCATTCTACTGACAATTTTCTTTATATGTTAAGCACAGTCTGTTATTGATTTATTTGTACCGTTTCTAGACACATAGGATGTGTGATTATGCTTCATAGTAGAAAGTACTTGTCATTATTATGACCAGGGAGGGTGGGTGCTAATGGGAGGGGGGACATTACCATCCAACAGCATCTGAATCTAACCCTAGCATGACTTAGTTTTTTGTTTTTCTTGATATTACACTTAGAAATAAGTGAGATTATCTCTTTCAAGGCTATCATGATGAAATGAAAAATATAATAAAACTACATAATATATGATGAAATATGCTGAGACAAACCTGTAGGAGAATTAATACAAAGTTCAAAGTCACTGATAATTTCATTTCTAAATCTGGCAGTTTTGAAGGGGGATAAACTTGTTCAGATTTAGTAATGATAACAAAAACTCTGATTACTGGTAAAACGTTCAGTGATTTGTTTTGTCGTACCAGAAGTTACTAAGTAATTACAAATGAATATGTTAGCATATCAATGAAAAAGAATAATTAGAAGTTTAATATAAACCCCAAATAAAAGAATAATGTCATTAACCTGCTATGACAAATTATAAAAAATAACAATCGACTAAGTCCATGTTAGATGAATATCGAAGGATAGCCTGATGTCCCCCTGACCAGTAGTTTTGTCTTTCCCTGTAGATTAGTTAGCCATGGTTTCCTTCAGTAATGTCAATGTAACCAACACATTAAAGGTTATTGATACTTAAACACTGAGATTGCTAGATGTTTAATTATACTGTAGAGTGTAGGAAACCTCAAAGTATTACCACTGCATGAATTGTACCACATTGACATTATATAATCAAGTTTTCAATGGTAAACATATACTTGTTTGTTTCATACAACACAGTGCTCTTATTGGCTGAGCAACATAGTGTCTGACTGTTAGCTGATTAAGGGGTGACATTATATGAATACAAGAAGATACAACTAGAAATTGTGGTCTCATGATATTGCTTAGTAAAGTTCATTCATCCTATGTTTTAAATAGGAATAATGACTTTGATAAGGCATCATCTGAGGCATGCAATTACTGATTATGTCACTTGTTTACCAGCGAGAATCTGTTATAAGCATTTAAATATTCTCCATGTACTCTGACAGATGTGTTGCTTGATTATGTCAGAAGTTACAAGTGATCAAGGTTTATAAGCATGAGTGTTCTCTTGCCTACTTTTTAATTTAGAAGAAAGCAGTGTGTGCCACACTAGACATTCTTTCAAAGAATATGCATTTATATATATATTTATAAAAAATGTAGCTGTATGACCCATACAGGTTTAGAGCATGTTTTTGAATAATAATAATTCTAAATGTATAAAAATATATTTATACAGTATTAATCTCTACAAATGACTATAAGTACAGTAAAGATGGGCAATAGAGCATCAAGCTTTCAAATCTTGTGCAAATGAAATTTCTAGATTCTGTTTCTCGTATAGTTTTGTGACATTGTGTTTGCCTGTGTTACCATGGGCTTTAAATATTAAAGTCTGCCTAAAGGAAGAAATATTTGCGAGAATCAGAAATGTAATGAATGTGTTTGATAATGTAATAATTTGTATAACAGTCTCTGCACATGTACTTTCCAAGTGAAAGCTGCATGGTATTTGGAATGTAAGAAATTTTCAGGGTATTGCTTTCAACGAAATTCTTAAAGAGTATTTAGAATGTGTCATGATTTAAGCTCTTAGTGTGACTGCTTAATAAAATTAGTGTGCCCGTGTACTGAATTGAATTCAAAATTTACTGCGTCTCTACTTGAGAGAAGTGAGAATTTATGGATTATTATATTTCAATGCACTGGCAAAAATAGTCTTTTGATGATAGGTAGGGACAGCTAGATAAATAGAACTGATATATTTTAATTAGGCCATGAAAATTTTCATTGAGAATATATTCATGATAATTAGGAATACTATCTGAAGAGAAACTTCGTAAGATAAAGGATGAATCTCACATATGCGTGTTGAATGTATCTTTAAGGTAATTTTCAAGGCTTTGTTTGATATTATTAAATTGTGACCATGGAGCATGTAAAATAATATTAGAAACTCTTCCTGAGGGCAGATTACAAGTGTTATAGACAGTTCTGGTTATTTGCCAATTTTTACAATTTGTAAGTACACTTGAAAATGGTTTTTATTGCTTTAGTATAATTAGCAAAAGATCTAATTCAGGGACAAAGTATCAGCCAACCAGAAACCTCTCATTGCACTTGTAACGTGTGTTGGGACAAGGGAGTTTGCGCCTTCTTGGGTTACTAATTAAGGCTCAATATCGCTCGTCACTTCACATTTTCTACCAAATATAGTGTAAACAATTATGTATCATGAAATAAACCATGAGATATTATTTTCTTTCTTTGTCTTTAATGGATATAAGCAGTAACCTGATACAGTTTTAGCAAAATATTAACAACCTAGTTGAACTAACTACAGTTAAGACATTAAATGATGTATTGGAAGTGAGTCAACTAAATCTTCTCAAAGCCCCCCAAATAAAAATAATATTGCCTGAAGCCAAGTCCCCCTAGGCCCTTTACCAACCAGGTAAGTCACCACTGGTGAATTTCTTCATAACCTTACTGTCCTTTACAGGAAGCATCTAGATGCTAATGAGGGTATCCTGATTCAAGGAACTGTAGCTACCTTTCCTTCTATCAAACCTGAGTACTTCCCATTCCCTGAGAGTTGTACGACTCCTATTATGAAGCGCACTCCTTGTCCTGTATATAACGATGCATTTTTGGTTGCTACAAGATTCAAGAAATGTATCTCTGTATCCCATAGCATTAGTTTAATAACTACCCAAACCCTCATATATACAAGGTATTAAACTGTTGACACTCGGTAAAGTGCCAATTAAAAAAAAAAGTTATATGTGATTGCTGGTGAAGGTGTGCAAATTCCACTGGACATGAGCTTAGCAAAAGGCTTATTTCCTAAATGTCAGTCATCTAAGAATTTTATGTTCAATCCATGTGCAAACTACCAAGGTCATGAATGTCATCATTTACACGACATTTACTTTCAATCTCACCACCAGTAGACAAAGAGGAACAAAACAAAATGGAATGTAACAAACACATTTTTAGTTGGGATGGCACTTACTAAATCTGCAAATTATTATTATAGTAAAAAAGAAGCGCTAAGCCACAAGGGCTATACAGCGTAAATCTGCAAAGAGCACCTCGAATAGGTTAAAAATGAAGAAGAAAAGGAAAGTGAAAAAATAAGGTAAATAAGAGAGGGAACAGTGCATATATAAAGTTAAATAAATGCTTTACATGTTTTGGCCTTAAGATTTCCTCTCCTTCCTCTCACCGTCCCACCTTCCTCCTCCCACGGCCCTGCCCTACCCCACATCTAGTCTTCCTCCCACCATCCCACCCCTAGCCTAAACCCCACAGCCCCACCTTAAGCCTTCCTTCTCCCAGTGCCCCACCCTGCCCCTAGCCTTCCTCCTACTGACCTGCCCTGTCCTTAGCCTTCCTATTCCCACTGCCCAACCCCTAGTCTCCCACTGCCCTGCCCTGCCTTGCCACTAGCCTGCCTTCCTCCCACCACCCAAACCCCTAGCCTTAATCCCGCTGTTCCATCCCTAGCATTCCTCCTCCTAAAGCCTCGCCCCTAGCCTTCCTCCTCCCACTGCCCCACCCTAGCCTTCCACCTCCCACTGCCCCACCCTAGCCTTCACCTCCCACCACCCAATTCCTGGCCTTCCTCCTCCCACTGTCCCACCTCTAGCCTTTCCCTTCCCACCACCCCTCCCCTATCATCCTCCTTCCCACTGCCACTCCCCTATCTTCACTCATCCCACTGCCCCTTACCTATCCTCCTCCTTCCCACTGACCCACCCTAGCCTCTCTCCTCTCACTGCCCCACCCTTAGCCTCCTGATCCCACCACCCGCCCCTAGCATTCCACCTCCCACCGTCCCGCCCCGAGCCTTCCTCCTCCACCACCCCTCCCCTGCCTCCCTCCTCCCACTGCTCCACCCCTAGCCTTCCTCCTCCCACCGCCCCCTCCCTAGCATTCCTCCTCCCACTGCCCTATCCCTAGCTTTCCTCCTCCCACTGCCCTGCCCTAGCCTTCCTCCTCCCAACACCCCATCCCTAGCCTTCCTCCTCCCACAACCCATCCCTAGCCTTCCTACTCCCACTGCCCTGCCCCTAGCCTCCCCCCTCCCACTGCCCTGCCCCTAGCCTCCCTCCTCCACCACTCCATCCCTAGCCTCCCTCCTCCCACCACCCCACCCCCAGCCTTCCTCCTCCCACTGCCTTGCCCCTAGCCGTCCTCCTTTCACCCACCCCATCCCTAGCCTTCCTCCTCCCACTGCCCTGCCCTAGCCTTCCTCCTCCCACTGCCCTGCCCCTAGCCTTCCTCCTCCCACTGCCCCATCCCTAGCCTTCCTCCTCCCACTGCCCTGCCCCTAGCCTTCCTCCTCCCACCACCCCATCCCTAACCTTCCTCCACCCACTGCCCCCCCCTAGTCTTCCTCCTCCCACATGCCCTGCCCTTAGCCTTCCTCCTCCCACCGCCTCAACCTACCCTTCCTCTTCCCACAAC